GTAATGAGGTGACAGTCAGTGCCTGCACAAGCAATAGTGAAGTCATCTACATAGAGTGATGACCAAATATTGGATGGAAGAACAGAGGCCAAATCATTTATAGAAAGGAGAAAAAGTGTTGTGCTCAAAACACATCCCTGAGGGACACCTTCAGTTGGACAAAGGTCGAGGAGAGCACATTATTGACTCGAACACGGAAATGTCTGTCAGTTAAAAAGTTCTTAAGGAAAGATGGTAGATTGCCTCAGAGGCCTAAGGAGTATGCTTGGGCCAAAATATTATACCATCTGAAGCTCACCCCTATTACCGGAGGCCGCATATATACCACTGTAAATAGGCCATGATTGGCAACGATAAAGATACTAGAAATCCGCAGGTAAGGGTACTTACGGACTAGAGGGTTTAGAAAAGTCCACATGTGGTGGCAACAGAAAACGTTCAAGCAGCGAAGGAAACGGTGCGCTGTGAAGAAAGGAGTTGTGCAGATGGAGAAGAGTTAAGAGAAGGAACAGAGGGTGGATCAGTGTCCATTGATGGTTTGGTCTCTGCAATATATTCAGAGATTGCTTCAAGTGTTTTGGAGTTCAGAGACGTCGTTATGGGAGACAATATTGGAGATGGAAGGAGGAGGAGTTTGAGTAAAGATCGGAACTGTAATGGACTGTACCAAGGTAGGGGAAGGCGAAAGAGTGGAGGGAACTGGAGAAGTGTGGGAGGGGACAGAAGAGGCAGAAATGGGAGGTGGCAGAAGAGGAAGAAACTTGGGAGGGGACAGGGGAGGAAGGCACAGTACGAGGAGGAGGATGAACCTCCACACTCGTAACAGAGCCAGTGAAAAGGGGAAGACCCAGGTACAGAGACTGGGAAGGTAAAATGGTGGAGGTGGATGAAGGGAAGGAGGGGTTTAAGGAGATTTTTTGGACTTCTGAGAAGTAGAGGAACGATTGGGAGGAGGTGTCATAACGAGGTCTTGTCGATACGGGGTTTTTGTGAGGGAGAATACGAAGCGAGAACAGACCGAGGTGTTGAAGTAGGGACGTCTGAGCCCAGGACAGCAAAAGAATTAGATACAGGAGTGACTATGGGACTGGCAACCGCAGAGGAGGCTGCAGAAGATGGGACCTCAGAAGTGGGGGGACGTTTTGAAACACGAGAATAAAAACAGGGGGAGTCTCCCTTGGAGGCGGAGATGAGAAAATGCCTAGCAAAAAGGGACCTGCCTCTTTGAGGCAACAAATTTCCCATCATTTAAGTAGACTGGCAATGGCAAGAGTTTAAAGGGTAAACCTATGAAAATTTTAAGGCAGAGGGAGGTCGTGCAAGCGTTTTAGAATGGTCAGGCACCACAGACTGGGGTTCGGCTAAAGTTCTGCAATATTTTTCTGGGTGGCCAAAAACGCCCGCAATTTCTACAAAGTTGTGGTTTTAGGGGGCACCTTCCCAATTGTAACCCATGTCCCGCTACGTAAACGAAGTGGGAGTTCCCGGCTGTCAAAAAATTAAACAAGCCAATTGCAAGGGTTTTTGTCTTCACCCGGGGAGGAAGAACATAAAAGGGACCCTTTAGAATTGGGAATCTTTGGGTTCCCGCTGTCGAGAAAGTCATTTTCATGTCTGGAAATTTGTTGGGCAGGTATGGGGCAGAAAAACAGTACAACAAGAATTGGGGGGAATGTGTTTTTCGATGTGTAGGAATAGTATTGATATGTGAAAGAAAAAAAAGACTGATTATTATTTTTATTATAACAAGGGGGAAGCGCTAAAACCCGGGGATTATACAGCGCCCCCCCCGGGGGGGGGGGGGTGTGGGAAAGGGATTCAGGCTTAATTTTGGGGAATGGAGCACAGATCCCAAAATTTCCCCAAATAAGAGCCCCTCACCCAAATAAGGAAAACCCTTTCCTTTAGGGGAGAAAGATCTGGCTTGGGGAGAATTCTGGACTGTGATGATGTGCATACACTCTTAAAGAGCATAAAAGGAAATATCTCTCCCAAAACATGGCGTAAAAGCCCCTTTGCCAATACAAATGGTCGGAAGATAGGCAGTGGGAAGTGGGTTTTTAAAAGAAAAGGGGAATTTGCCCATTGGTTGGTCCGAAACCGAGTGTGGAGGGGAGGCATGAGGGTTTTGGGTTTTTTTTTCCGGTAGAAGGGGAAAAGGAAATTGAAGTAACATCATCAGGAGATTGTATTGGCTTTTTAGAAGGGGGGGCCGGGGTTGGTCCGCCCGTGGGGACAGGCTGGCGATTCAAAAAAATCGCCGCACGTAGGGGGAGGGGCCCGGAAACCCATAGTCAAAGGGAGCGGGGGGTTCCGACAATCAAAGGGAAGTCAGTCAAAACCCCCGGCCCCGGGAAGCGGGTGACGAAACAGCACGGGAAAAGAGGTACGGGGGGCCTTAGGACCCCAAAGGGAAGAGGGGCCAAAAAAGACAAGGCGAGGTGGGAAAACGGGATGCGGAAACCCAATTTAAGGGGGCCCCGGGGGTTTGAGGGGGGTAGGGGATTGGGACCCCAAATGGTTAGGTTACTTCTTTCTTTTTAAGAAAAAAAAAATAAAATAAAAAAAAAAATTTAAAAAAAGGGGGGGAAAACGGGGAGGGGATATTTCCCTGGGGAAATTGGGGAATGGGGCCAAAAAATCTTCCTCTGCACCCAAAGAGGAGACCTCAGCACCGCAAGTGGAGATGCGCATGGGAAAACCCCTGCCCCTACCCTTACCCTTCATTTCCCGTAAACCCCAATCCCCGATAGCAACCCCACATCTGCCCAGTTTCCTCGGTGGACAAAAGAGAGGGGGGCCGGAATCCCCCACCAAAACATACCTCCTTCGCCACCAACCCCCGGAAACCGGAAAAGGGGGCTTCCAGAGATACTTCAACCCCTTGCCTGGGGGGGAAAAACACCCAAAAACCACCCCCCGGGTTCTGGAGAGGGGGTCGGGCCTCCCCAGTCGATCCAAATTCCCCGGCAAAATACGCCACTTTCCAAAAAAACCCCAAAGGAATGGGATGGACCACGTACCCCTTTTTTCCCACCCAGGAAATTTGCGTGCCTGTGGGAAAAAACCCAAAAGGCCAAAAAAAGGAAAAGGGGAAAAAAAAAAGGGGGGGGTGGGGAGGGAAAAGGAGGAAAAAGGGAAAAAAGGGGGGGATGGGATAGGGAAGGGGGGAAATTGGGGGGGTAATTAGGGGTTTGGTCTGAGGAAAGGGGACCCAAAAGGTCTAATTCCTCAGAAAAAGAGCCTTTTTACCCCGACAAAAGGGGCCCCCCCCTTTAAAAGGGTTTAATTAATAAAACCCTTTTATTTTCTTTCTTTTTTTGGGTCACCCTGCCTTGGTGGGGGATTCCCCCCCCAAAAATTTTTTTCTATTAAAGGGTTTCAATGCTGAGTTTACAGAAATTTTGGGTTTTTTGTGGGTTTTAAAAAAGTTAAAAAAAATAATTACGTGTACCATAGAAAACCAAAACATGGGTAGGCATTTTTTTTTTTTTTTAAAAAATTTTTATTTAAACCAAAAAAAAGGGCAAAACAAATTAAATCTTTTAAATTTAAAAATTTTTACAAATTATGAGGAAGTTGGTATTTTGGCTAAGTGAATAAATACTTGTTTGTTTAGGTTTTTGCAATTTTGAAAAACCTTTTTTTTTGGCAAATACATAGTTTTTAGATTGGGTATCACGGCCAACTTTTTGGGCTAGTTTAAAATTTATTTTTTTGGGGATTGGATTGATATTTCGGGTTTTTGGGGCAAATGGGTGAGTGAAAAATGTAAGTGTTAACCACCAGGGGGGTATTCGTTAATTGTTGACAGGGGTTTTATCGGGGGAGATAAGTGTTTTTTGATGGTTTTTTTGAAGGTGATGAAAGTGTCTGCAGTTTTAGAAAATTTTTAGGGGGGTTTGGGTGTTCCAGATTTTTGGGCCCTTTTTCATTTCATTGAATTTTTGTAAAAAGGGTTTTGGGCTGAAAACGGGGAATGTCAGAGATGTTTGTGTCTGGTGTTTTGCTGTGGGTTCTGTCCAACTTCAAAAAGATTTTAGGGCAGGTTTAAAATTTGGGGGTTTTAAATTTCCCGAAAATGTAGATTTTTCACCCGTGTTTAAATGTGGATGTACTGAAAAAAGGGAGTTTAAATTTTGATTTTATGAAGAGTGGGGGAGGGTGTGTTTCCGGGGATGGGATTTGTGATTATTCTTCTGCGGCTTTTTGTTGGGTTATTATTGGCTTTAGGTGCGTTGCTGCAGTTGAACCCAAGCACAGATAGCAAGGTGAGGTATGGTATGTAAGTGAATGGTATAGTGTGAGAAGGGCAGTTTGCGGCACGTAGTATCTATCTTGGAGAGGATCCCAACCGTTTTGGATACTTTTTGGTTTGTGTTTTGGATAGGGGTGCTGAAGTTCAGGTTGTTGTCGAGGTATAGGCCTAGAATTTGCCCTCATTATGCCTGGAAATTTAGTGTTGTCGATCTTAATGTTAATTTGCGCATCTCCTGCTCTGTTACCAAACATAATGTAGTAGGTTTGTCAGTGTTAAGCTTACAAACTAATTCATGAACAACAAAAATTACAAATGAATTTTATATATTTTATTAGTCAACAAACAAAAAAATATGATCACCATATAAATTGGGTATACATGTTCACATAGAAATAGTCAAATTAAAAATCAAAAGGACAAAAAAAAAGTTTATTTCACAATTATATCAAATTAATGTACCTCTCAATAACATAAAATTAAGTAATTGGTATGTATATTTCCTATTTTATTTTTCATGAGAACATTTATGACTACATACAGTATTGAAAGATAACTAAAGCAATACAAAAGCCATAAGTGAAATTAGGGCAAAAATAATTTGTTATCAGAGGTTCAGAGGAAAATGGTGAATGAAAAAAGCTTAGCTGTAAAATTTTGAAGAAAAAAAATATATTTTATGTCCTTAAAAGCCTATTTGGGTTTTAATTTTTTCCTAAACAAGAGTGCCATTTTGTTTCTACTATACAGAAAATTGATACACAAAATCTCTAACACTAAACCTATCAATACCTGTACTCCAAATTTTAGCGCTTGGATTTCTTTTTCTGCTTTCTCCTTTGTTCCTCTTCATCATCTTCGTAACTTGGAGAATACAAAGGTAGTTGGGACTATAACCTGGAGTAGTTGGACTGTAAGTTGGGCTAGTTGGGCTATACTTGGGGCTACTTGGACTGTAGGTTGGAGATGTTTGGGAATATTTTGGACTTGAAGGGCTATATCGAGGACTGGAGGGACTGTATGTGGGTGATGTTGGAGAGTACTTGGGTGACGTTGGTGAGTAATTGGGTGATGTAGGAGAATATTTAGGAGAGGATGGGGAATACGAAGGAGAGGTGGGTGAGTAAGTTGGACTTGTAGGTGAATATTTTGGTGAACTGGGGGAATATGAAGGAGAGCCAGGTGAGTAGGTTGGGCTTGTTGGTGAATAGTTGGGGCTTGTGGGTGAATACTTGGGGGAAGATGGTGAATAGGATGGGGAAGCTGGAGAGTACTGAGGAGAACTCGGTGAATAAGATGGACTAGTTGGGGAGTAGGAAGGGCTGGTTGGAGAATATCCAGGAGATGATGGAGAGTAGTTAGGAGCATAACTGGAGATGTAGGTGAATAAGATGGTGATGTGGGAGAATAAGATGGTGATGTGGGAGAATAAGATGGACTAGTAGGAGAGTAGGAGGGAGAAGTGGGACTGTAACTTGGGAAGTAGGTGAATAGAGGGACTTGTAGGAGAATATGATGGAGATGTAGGTGAGTAAGATGGAGAAGTTGGAGAATAGGATGTGATGTTGGAGAGTACGAGGGAGAGGTGGGACTATATGATGGTGATGTGGCGAGTATGATGGAGAGGAGTGGACTGTAAGATGGTGATGTGGGAGATAGATGGACTTGTTGGAGAGTACTGTGGTGAGGTTTGGAGAGTACTGAGGGCTTGTTGGACTGTAGGTAGGTGATGTGGTGAATATCCTGGAGATGCTGGAGTCATGCTTGGAGATGTAGGCTGAAAAGCGGTGATGATGGAGAGTAGGAGGTGATAGTGCATTTGGCTGGACTTGGAATGTATGGACTTGTGCACCCTGGAGACCCTGGGCTGCCAGGCTGTGGAGACCATGCTGAGAATACCCTGGTGATAGACTTGTGGTCTCACTTGCTGCAGCTGGAGAGAAGGATGGTCCACCTGGTGTCATACCACTTCCTACACCTGGGGTCCATGCACCAATGGCGACATGATGGTGTTGCTCCTAGGCCCATGGGGTTTGGGCCGGTGTCATGCCAGAGGATGGTGATGCAGCACCAAAAAATCCTCCACCCATCATCATCCTGTTCCTGGCATGGGGATCTCCATGCCCAACTGAAACTTAGCATCATCTAAGACCAGTCAAATGACCAGAAACCTATTTGGGAAGCTGACCTAACATGATGTTTTCCGAAACACCACGATAGGTCTACTTCAGCACAAGAGGCAGCTTCATTAACACGTCCACAGATTCTTCAAATGAACACTTCATTAATTGCTCCAGTGTCCTTGTCTGTTTTATACCATGACTGTGATTGCCATCAAGTGACCTTTGCTGGTCATAACGTCCAAAGCAAAGCCAAGTGACGGTAGTTCACGTACAGTCCATAGAACATAAGCACTGCATTCATTTCTTTTCGATACATTTACGGACAGCTTCAATTCCAAGGACTTCAAATACTTCCAAGATATCATTTGAGGAAGTTCTCACAGATCTACATCTCTCTCTGAAAGAACTTTCATTAAGGCAGTACCATCATCTCAAGTAGCCACTCAGCTAATTGCCTTAAATTCTCCATGTTCATTAATGATGATCCTCTTTTTCTCATCAGTCTGGGGCAAATGCATATACACTTTGGTGATGGCCTCAATGCCTGTATGTAAGGTCATTCAGCATATTTGCTTCAATGCATCGTAAGAAAGTATCATCTTCCATTTGTCCACCTGTTGAAAGAAAAAGAGAGATATTCTTTGCACTTTTTTTTTTTTAATGCTGGCCATCTCCTGTTGAGGCTGGGCAACGAAAAAAAAAACTTCCATCACCATTCACACTACCACCGTCTTGCCAGAGGCACATAGACATGACAGTTTACATGTCCTTCCAAACAGCATAATATCCAAACCCCTCCTTTAGAGTGCAGACACTGTACTTCCCACCTACAGGACTCAAGTCCGGCTAACTGGTTTTCCTGAATCCTTTTTGTAAATGTTACCTTGCTCACCCCAAGAGCATTTCAAATAAAAAAAAAACCACTTGCCTTCACCTACTCCTAACATGATCGCCACACCTGTTGGATGTCCAAGCCCCTGGCACTCAAAACCTTAACCCACACCCTCCAATCTTTCCTAGAACAGCCCCTACTTCTCCTTCCATCCACCCCAGATTTTAACCACTCCTGGCCTTCCTATTTTTCTCCATTCTAAACATTCAAACCACCTAACAACACCTCCTCAGCCCCCTGAAAAAAATATTTTTGGTAACTCCACCCCACCTGTTCACGGACCAGGCCTCAGGGTGTTGACCCCAAAACCCCCTCCAAGTAGACTCCAAGTATACCACCACCTAATCTCCAAACTCTGAATTTTCTGCATAATATTCACACCACATATTACTCTTTTTAAATTTAGTATTAATACAGGAGAAGGGGTTACTAGCCCTTTCTCCAGGTATTTTAGTTGCCTTTTATAAACATGTATGGCTTATATAGGAAGGATCGTTCTTCACTTTTCCTGCATTTTGAAGGAGGGGTGGGGATATCGCGTTAGGAGGGGCATCTGAACTGCAATGTCGGTACACCTCTGGCAAAACAGTGATTGAATGATGTTTGTTTTTGGGGGCAAGGGGCTTGGACTTCCAGCAAGCGTGCGTGAGCATGTTAGATAGGAGTGAATGGAGACGAATGGTATTTGGGACCTGACGATCTTTTGGGAGTGTGAGCAGGGTAATTTTTAGTGAAGGGTTTCGGGGAAACCGGTTATTTTCATATGGGTCGGACTTGAGTCCTGGAAATGGGAAGTACAATGCCTGCACTTTAAAGGAGGGTTTGGGATATTGGCAGTTTGGAGGGATATGTTGTGTATCTTTATATTTTGAAATGCTCTAAACTGTTGTATTCTGAGCACCTCTGCAAAAACGGTGATATGTGCGAGTGTGGTGAAAGTGTTGAATGATGATGAAAGTATTTCTTTTGGGGATTTTCTTTCTTTTTGGGTCACCCTGCCTCGGGGGGAGACGGCCAACTTGTTGAAAAAAAAAAAAATTACTTACAGATGTACAACTTAAAATGGTGTGTAGGTTTCTTGGACATTAAAAATTAAACTTTCGAGTGTAAGTAAAACTATTAAAAATGTGCTGCAAGTGCCTCATTACTATAATTACCAATACCTCAAACTTATGTTATGAAAACAGATAAATTTTAAGAGAATGGAGTAATCAATATAAAATGTTCAAAAATGTACTATGGAGATGGCAATATCTGAGTATTATATATTTTACAAACTAGTAAAGCATCCTTTGATACAAGTACTAGAGCAACCAAAAACTAACCTGTTCCTCAGCATCATCACCAATTTGTCATCACCAACAATAATACGGATCCGCAGAACGAGTTTTTCTGCATTGTCATCATTGAAAATGCAATTCAAATCGTCTCCAAAACCCGAGTTAATCTTCTGGGAAATTTGCTCCATAGTCAGCTTTTTATCTGTAGGAAAATTAACATTGTTACCAGCATTAATTCAGAATTTCCAGGTACAAAGAAACCTCAAATTATCAGACTAATAAGGGTAGGGTATTGACACAAAACTAACAGTTCATTAAATTTGAATGAAGAGGTAATTTTCAGATCATAAAAAGAACAGACAATTGCGGATTTAATGCACTGTGTTAAATCCGAAATATATTTACCCTGCAAACTGTAACACTATAGGACAATTTTGGATTTAACTTTGCCCTTAAACCCAAAATAAATTTATCTAAGGGGCCTGTAACAAAAAGGGAAATTCTAAAATTGAACAACTGTGCATGTTATTTCCAATTGTTGTTTGTCCATGTTAAATCAAGGTTTTACTATAATATTTTCCCTTGTCTGCCCTGAAAATATCCAATGTCACACACATGGATCAGTTTAGCAACTGAAATCTCCATTTCCCATAAATTTAATTAGTTTAACCCCTAAACGGCCCCAAATGTATTCTCTCGCCCAGTGCCCCGAATATTTTGAAAAATAATTTTTTTTATAGAAAAAAAGAGAGCATTTTTCTAAGTGTTATAGGATTAAAAAAAAAAAAATTAGGGTCAGAAACTTACCAAATATGAAGCTGCAAAATTTGCTCACCTGATGGCAACATGGAGACCTGCCGCTTGCAGAAGTGTTGCCGATATATCTTTTTTCCTCATTTTTATATTATTTTATATAATTTTTATTATTTTTTTATTTTATTTTATTATCACACTGGCCGTTTCCCCCACCAAGGCAGGGTGGCCCAAAAAAGAAAAATTTTCACCATCATTCACTCCATCACTGTCTTGACAGAAGGGTGCTTTACACTACAGTTTTTAAACTGCAAACATTAACACCCCTCCTTCAGAGTGCAGGCACTGTACTTCCCATCTCCAGGATTCAAGTCCGGCCCGCCGGTTTCCCGAACCCCTTCATAAATGTTACTTTGCTCACACTCAACAGCACGTCAAGTATTTAAAAACCATTTGTCTCCATTCACTCTTATCAAAACACGCTCACGCATGCCCGCTGGAAGTCCAAGCCCCCTCACACAAAACCTCTTTTAACCCCCTTCCTCCAACCTTTCTTAGGCCGACCCTACCCCGCCTTCCTTCCACTACAGACTGATACACTCTTGAAGTCACTCTGTTTCACTCCTTCTCTCTACATGTCCAAACCACCTCAACAACCCTCCTCAGCCCTCTGGACAACAGTTTTGGTAATCCCGAAACCTCCTCCTAACTTCCAAACTATGAATTCTCTGCATTATATTCACACCACACATTGCCCTCAGACATGACATCTCCACTGCCTCCAGCCTTCTCCTCGCTGCAACATTCAACCCCCATGCTTCACACCCATATAAGAGCATTGGTAAAACTATACTCTCATACATTCCCCTCTTTGCCTCCAAGGAAAAAGGGTTCTTTGTCTCCACAGACTCCTAAGTCCCCACCACTCACCCTTTTCCCCTCATCAATTCATGATTCACCTCATCTTTCATACACCCATCTGCGGGACACGTCCACTCCCAAATAATCTGAATACATTCACCTCCTCCATATTTCTCTTCCTCCAATCTGAAAATCCAATCTTTCATCACCTAATCTTTTTGTTATCCCATAACCTTACTCTTTCCTGTATTCACTTTTAATTTTCTTCTTTTGCACACCCTACCAAATTCATCCACCAATCTCTGCAACTTCTCTTCAGAATCTCCCAAGAGCACAGTGTCATCAGCAAAGAGCAACTGTGACAACTCCCACTTTATGTGTGATTCTTTATCTTTTAACTCCACGCCTCTTGCCAAGACCCTCGCATTTACTTCTCTTACAACCCCATCTATAATATATTAAACAACCCCCGGGGACATCACACATCCTTGTCTAAGGCCACTTTTACTGGGAAATAATTTCCCTCTTTCCCACATACTCTAACTTGAGCCTCACTATCCTCGTAAAAACCTTCACTGCTTTCAGTAAACCCACCTCCTACACCATACACCTGCAACATCTGCCACATTGCCCCCCTATCCACCCTGTCATATGCCTTTTCCAAATACATAAATGCCACAAAGACCTCTTTAGCCTTATCTAAATACTGTTCACTTATATGTTTCACTGTAAACACCTGCCCCACAAAACCTCCTACCTTTCCTAAAGCCTCCTTGTTCATCTGCTATCCTATTCTCCGTCTTACTCTTAATTCTTTCAATAATAACTCTTACCATACACTTTACCAGGTATGCTCAACAGACTTATCCCCCTATAATTTTTGCACTCTCTTTTGTCCCCTTTGCCTTTATACAAAGGAACTATACATGCTCTCTGCCAATCCCTAGGTACCTTACCCTCTTCCATACATTTATTAAATAATTGAAACCAACCACTCCAGAACTATATTCCCCACCTGCTTTTAACATTTCTATCTTTATCCCATCAATCCCAGCTGCCTTACCCCGTTTCATTTTACCTACTGCCTCCGGAATTTCCCCCCACACTCACAACTGGCTCTTCCTCACTCCTACAAGATGTTCTTCCTCCTTGCCCTATACACGAAATCACAGCTTCCCTATCTCATCAACTTTTAAAAATTTTCCTCAAAATATTCCCTCCATTTTCCCCAATACCTCTAACTCTCCATTTAATAACTCCTCTCCTATTTTTAACTGACAAATCCATTGTTCTCTAGGCTTCCTTAACTTGTTTATCTCACTCCAAAAACTTTTTTTATTTTCAACAAAATTTGTTGATAACATCTCACCCACTCTCTCATTTGCTCTCTTTTTACATTGCTTCACCACTCTCTTAACCTCTCTCTTTTCTCCATATACTCTTCCCTCCTTGCATCACTTCTACTTTGTTTAAAAAATTCTCATATGCTAACTTTTTCTCCCTTACTACTCTCTTTAAAATCATTCCACCAATCGCTCCTCTTCCCTCCTGCACCCACTTTCCTGAACCACAAACTTCTGCTGCAACTAACACTACATTTTTAAACCTCCCCATACCTCTTCGACCCATTGCCTATGCTCTCTTAGCCCATCTATCCTCCAATAGCTTTTATATCTTCCCCCAACTGCCTCCTCTTTTAGTTTATAAACCTTCACCTCTCTCTTCCCTGATGCTTCTATTTCTCCTTGTATCCCATCTACCTTTTACTCTCAGTGTAGCTACAACTAGAAAGTGATCTGATTTATCTTTGGCCCCTCTATAAACATGTACATCCTGAAGTCTACTCAACAGTCTTTTATCTCCCAATACATAACCCAAAAAACTACTGTCATTTTGCCCTACATCATATCTTGTATACTTATTTATCCCTTTTTCTTAAAATATGTATTACCTATAACTAAACCCCTTTCTATACAAAGTTCAATCAAAGGGCTCCCATTATCATTTACACCTGGCACCCCAAACTTACCTACCACACCCTCTCTAAAAGTTTCTCCTACTTTAGCATTCAGGTCTCCTACCACAATTACTCTTCACTTGGTTCAAAGGCTCCTATACAATTCACTTAACATTCCCAAAATCTCTCTCTCTCCTTCATTCCTTCTTTTCCAGGTGCATACCGCTTATTATGACCCACTTCGCATCCAACCTTTTATTTAATCCACATAAATTCTTGAATTTACACATTTATATTCTCTTTTCCCCTTCCTAACTGATCT